CGAGTTCCCGGTGAGAATCCCATCTCAGCTGCCGCTGACGCCCGAAGACAGATGGCCAGCAGAACGGGGGAAATGTGCCGCGGACGGGACTCGGACCCAACGCTCTGCTAACGAACAACGCTTTAGAACGCTCTACTGCCAGCTCGCCCTTCCTCGATGAGAATTCTGAGCTCGATCCTGCCTAACAAGACGCAAGAATCGCAAAAAAAAAGTTCTTCCGGGCGGGAGTTGATCCCAGGGCCGACAGTTTCATGTGGCCCACGCCTTGGCACACTCGGCTGCCAGATGCCCGGTTGAGATCAGAACTCAGTCCCATATGAGAGAAAAGAAGCGCCAAAAAGAGCCTTTTGGCTTGTCAGGGACATGTGATGAGCAGGTCCTTGGTTTCTGTTTTTCACCCTGGGGTCGTCGGGTATCATCTATTGCCCGAAAAAAAATCTACTATAGTCGGGTCGGATTAAGCTGACTCTGGCCGCGGGATTCGTGGCCACAAACAGGGAAGTTCGCGAACAAGTTCACCCCCACAAGCTCTCATAGCGCCTGGTAGGTAGACAACATCTTGTCTGTAGTTCATGTGCGTACTGCGGGGTGGCCTACATTGAGTCTCACAGGCGCCGAGCTACAGTATTTCGCCGAATGAATCTGGGAAAATCGCATGTACTTTCTGGACGATTCCAATCCAATTGACGACCAGTGAGTACTAGAACTTGGCACGCGTTTGCTGCGCCGCCTTGTAGGTAGGCACCCCATCGGGCTTCCAGATGATTGTGGGTTCACTTGCTTCCTTGCCAAGGTGGTAATAGTTCAGCGAGTGTAACTGTTCTTAGATTTGGTTTTCATTACAAACGAAATACCATATTTGTCTGTAGTTGGTCTTAATTGTTTTTTTTAGATGACCAGTCAAAAATGGTTTAAGAATTACTGCCGAGTTACAGAACAAAAATAGTACTTCCTTGTTTCATGAATTTTTCTGCTTGTTAGGAGTGAAATTCATCATGTTGGAAATTTCCTGCTTTTCTTGACATTTCTTTTTAAATATTATTATTGTTTCCTCTTGTTAGCGTATGTTTTACATTTATAAGATAAAAGAGATTGGGTACGGATTTCTGTGAAATTAAACTAAAAATTGAAATAGAAAATTATAATTTTATTTTATTGTTTTTTTTTAGTATGATACATGAAACTTGTTCCAATCTGTAATCAATAACAAGAGCAATATGGTGAAGTCCCTCATGCTGACAGTATTTCATCATTTAGCCCTTGCCATCAGTCATTATTTTCAGATCCTAACTATGAAAAATGAAGGACCAGCACTTCAGTGACAATTAAAGTTCTTATCCTATGTACAATGATCAAAGTCGAAATTACAACAACACATCAAGAAATGTTATAAATAATTCTCCCATCAGTGCTGTTGATCACTGAGCCTTGACAAAATATTGAATCACAGTTCACCTTTCATTTTTGGAATGAAGATTAAATACCAAATGAGTTCTACATGCATGCATTACAATTCTACAATCTGGAGAAAACGGATCAAAACTCAAACAATGCACAGCATTCAGTGGAAACACTCCACTCTAACAATCAACAAACACAAAATGATTTACCATGAGCAAATGCTAAGTCCTTTGTTAAAATAAAATGGGTCCATCTCAGATGGCACCCATCACACAATAAAGCAGGCACAACCTTCTATCTAACATGACCCCCTCCCCTCCCTCACCCCCCATCTTATTTATGCTTAGACTTCTTTTTCTTATTCTTCGCCTTCCGTTTATGTTTCTTTTTAGATTTACTTGAATGCTTTTTACCAGAATCCGATTCACTACTTGTCGAGTCCTCCGAGTCTGATTCGGAGTCAGAGCTGGACTCAGTCTTCTTCTTCTTAGCTTTCTTCTTTCTCTTCTTTTCCTCCTTCTTCTTGCGTTTTGCCTTGCGCTTTTTCCTCTTTTTCTCTTCTTCAGACGAGTCGGAACTACTCTCTTCGTCGCTGCTGTCCTCCTCAGAACTTGACTCGCTCTCAGAGCTTGTCTCGCTCTTAGCCCTCTTCTTACCAGCTTTGTCCTTCTTGGCCTTCTCCTTCTTACTTAAATCTTTGGTTTTCTTGCCATCAACCTCGGCGTCTCCTTCGTCCGCTTTCACCTTCTTCTTCTTCTCCTCGGGCGCACCTGTCTCCGGGGAGCGCGATCGCTTCTTCAGGGAAGTACCACTTTCAGCAGCACCATCAGTCTCTTGAGCAGCAGGTTTCTCAGACGACTTCTCGCCCTGGGCGTTTGTCGCCTTGCCAGCCTCTCCGTCCTCTTGTTCACTCTCGCCCGATGTCGACGCGTCGTAGTCCGGTTCGAAGTTGGCCTCGTCCAGCCCAGGCTTCTTGGCGTCGCCGAGGGACTGCTTCCGCTTCTTCTTCGGCGGGGCGGTTGCGGTGGTGCTCTTGTCGGCCGGACCAGGCTGGGCCTTGTCAGCTTCCTTGCCCTTCTCGCCGGCACCCGCTGCATTCTGCTCCCCGTCCTCGTCATTGTCCTCCTCATCTTCAGAGTCCTCGTCGTCGTCTTCGTCGTCGCTCGAGTCGCTCTTCTCCGCCTTCTTGGCCTTCTTCTTCCTACTCTTGCGCCTCTTCCTGTCCTTCTTTTTCTTTTTCTTCTTGGCCTGCTCGCGGCTCGAGCTGCGAGAGCGCCGCCGCTTCTTCTTGGCGTCCTTGACCTTGTGCGCCTTGTGGCTGGCGGGCGACTGAGACTTGCTGTCGGCCTTGGCCACCGAGTCGTCCTCGTGGTGGGGCTGGGCGGGCGCCTGCACCACCACCCTGCTCGCCAGGTGCGCCCTCTCGGCGCGGTCCGGCCGGTCGCTGCTGTCGCGCCGCTCCGCTCGCTCCACGCGCTCCTCGCGGCCGCGGCGGCCGGCTCGCTCGCGCTCCTCGCGGTCCCGCTCGTCGTCGTGGTGCCGCCGCCGGTCGCGGTCGTCACCCGAGCGCGAGTCGCCGCGCACGCCGTCGTGTTCGAAGTGGCCGCGGCGCCGCTCGTGCTCCCTGTCGCGCTCGCGCTCGCGCTCCCGGTCGCGGTCCTGGTGGCGGCCCTGGCGCCGGTCCTCGCTGGCGTAGCTGCTGTGCTTCCGGTCGACCGAGTGCGGCGGCGTGGGCGTGCCGGGCCGCTCCGGGTTGAGGCCGGCGATGGCGCTGCTGCTGCCCTTGAGCGCGGCCGCTGCTGACGACTTGTGCCGGTGATGGTGGGAGTGCCGCGAGGACGACGACGACGAGGGCGCGTTGGCCGCTGCGCTGGGGCTGGCGGCGCGGTCAGGGCCGCGGTACACCCTCCGCCCGGAGGACGTGGGCTCTCGGAGCTCGATCGGGGCGTCGTCCACGCGCCCGCCCAGCCTGTCCTTGGCCGAGACGCGCGACAGGGGCGAGGACTTGCCCTCGCGCTCCGGCGCTGCGGCCTCCACGCGCACGGGCACCGTGATGGTGATGCTGTTGTTAACCTCCTTGGCCTCGCGGCCCTCGCTGGCCTGCAGCGCGTTCAGCAGCACCTCGGTGCCCTTCTCGTCCGGCGTGGTGGACGACACCTTGCGCTCCTTCTCCCGCTCCTTGTCCTTGTCTTTGTCTTTGTCCTTGTCCACGTACACCTTGCGCTCGCCGCCCTTCTTGGAGTCGAGCGGGCGTATGGCATTGGAGGCCGCCTTCTGGAAGATGGCGTTCTCGGCCCTTTTGATCACCTCCGACGTGACCACCTTGTCCCTCTTGGCGCTGCCGCCGCCCTGCTCCGTGCTGCTCTCGTTCTCCTGGCCAGACGAAGCGTCCTCCATCAGCTCCCACTTGGAGGGCTCCGGCAGGGGCGCGAGCATCTCTCCAGTCTTGAGCGGGCTGGGCGTGTTCGTGTCCGGCTCCGTGGCCACCGTCGAGCTCAGCCTGCGCTCCGGCGTCGCCTCCGACGTCGTCTTCACATCCAGCGGGGACTCGGTGGCGGTGCTTCCCCCGCTGTCCACCAGGCCCAGCCCGACGAGCAGACCGGGGCCACTGGGCGTGCTGTCAGCCTCCTTCTCTGCGAGGGACTCGGCCGCCGCCAGCTCCACCGCAACCTCCTCCTTGATGGGCGTCCTCTCTAACTTCTCCTGCAGGCGCTCCTCGGGCTCGGGCTTGACGGGGACACTTTCCTTGGTGATGGAGGTGGAGTCATGAACGGTGTTTTCTGTGGACTCCAAAACCGCACGCAGTTCATCACCCTCCTCTGCCTTGATAGTTTTCTTGTCGACCTTCTTCAGGTCGAGTTGATCTTCCTTCACCTGCTTGTCCTTGTGGTGCTTCTTCTTCTTCTTATCTTTCTTGTCCCCTGAGCTATGCTTTTCTTTGTCCTTTTCCTTGTCTTTTCTTTCCTTCTTCTTCTTAATCTTTGCCTCCTCCTTCTTCTTCTCTTTTGAAATTTCTTTTTCTCGCTCTTTCTCCTTTTCTCTTTCTCGCTCCTTCTCGCGCTCCTTTTCTTCCTCCCGCGAGTGAGCATGGGACTGCTTGTTCTCCTTGCCCTCTCTTGACCGTCCTTCCTTGGAGCTTGAGTGGTGGCGTCCGTCTCTGTCCTTCTCCCTCTCGCGCTCCTTGTCTTTGTCCTTTTCCTTCTCGCGTTCCCGATCACGATCCCTGGACCGATCGTGGTCGCGGTCCCGGTCACGCTCTCGATCCCTGTCGCGATCCCGGTGCTTGTCCACGTGATCACGGTCCTTGCCGCGGTGGAGATCCCTGTCCCTTTCCCGGTCTCGCTCCCTGTCTCGATCCCTATCCCTGCCTCTGAAGTCGTCCCTCCGTGGACGGTCCGTAACATGGACGGCCCGATCCGGCCTGTCCGGCCGATCCGGTCGGTCCGGTCGGTCTCTCATCCTGTCCCAGTGGTCGTACATGACGGGCTGGTTCATGAGCGGCGGGATCATGTGCGCCCCGGGCCCGACGGGAACGCTGGGCACGGGCCATCCGTGTGCCGGCCCGATGGGGAGCATGGGCGCGTGCGGCGGCGGGTGGCCGGGATGAGGTGGGTGTCCTGGATGAGGTGGGTGCCCTGGATGAGGTGGATGTCCTTGGTGTGGCGGATGACCTTGGTGAGGTGGGTGTCCTGGGTGAGAGGTGTGCACCGGCTGACTTGTGAGCACGGGGATGTCCCTGGCGTCTCTGGAGTCCTTGGCGTCGGCTCGCTCGCGGTCCCTGGTGTCCTTGGCGTCCCTCGAGTCCCTGGGGCGGTCTCTTGAAGCCTCGTAGTCACTCACCCCGGGCGGCGCCACCTCCTTGTCTGAGTCCCGCTCCCGGTCGCGGTCACGCTCGCGGTCCCTGTCGGCCTCCCTGTCGCGGGGCCTGTCCGCGGAGCGCGGGCGGGGGGCGTCGGTAGTCCTGCTCCTGTCCGGCGTCCTGTCCCTGGGCGCGGGCCTGTCCCGGTCGCGGTCCCAGCCGGGCTCCCAGGTGCCAGGCGGGGGCGGCGTCTTGTCTCGAGGCCGCGGGGGCGGCCGGTCCCTTGGCCGTTCCCTGTCCCGCTCGCGGTCGCTGTCCCGGTCGTCCCTGTAGGGCGCCGGGTGGGATGGCACGTGGGGCGGCGGGGGCAGCAGCTGCGGCGGTGGGCCGTGGCCCGTGGCCGCGGCCTGGTGGTGGTGGTGGTACTGTGCCAGCATCGGGGCCTCCCCGTCGTAGCGCCTCGGCGATGGCATCCTGGCTGTGGGGCGGTAAGGGCCAGGGGGTGGGGCCGGACCGGGCATGGGTCCAAGGCCAGGGCCTAGGGGCCCACTGGGGCCGTCGTACCGCTTGTCTCCGTACCTGCGACAAGAAAGCACAAATTGAGTTCACCCGCCTTGATGGATACAGCGGTTGGAGCGGTGTGCGCCCCTCCAGCTCAACTCGCACAAAGACTCTGGCATGCGAATGTTTTACTGACGTTGTTCTTAGCACATTCATTGCGGAGCGACCACAATGTGGTCACGCTTTGCTGTCCTTTTACCAACCCTCAGGATGCACAGCCGCATTGAATGTGTTAATGTCACTGACCAAAATATTTTTTGAGAAAGGTGTCTAGCTAAACAAGTAAATGGTGCACTTAGTGGTGCTGATTTTGTTGTTTTACAAGATAAATTCAAGGTCCAGATTTCCATACACAACACAAACCGCCAAAAATATAAAGGAAAATATCACTTAAAGAAATGAAAGCCTGCATATTTGAAACTGACTTTGTAGCTGAGAATATTACTGTGTGCCTAAAAATATGTATCTTACGCCAGGATCATGAACATAACTCAAAGAAGTAACGATCATCAGAGAAAACCTGCAAGCTTCAAGGTGACATCTGGACGGTTCTAAAAATGCTGAAATCTTTCATGAAAATAATAACAGTGGCGCTTTTGAGTGTTGAGTTGCTGTTTTTTTTTTTAATGAAAAAATAATATTACTAAGAGAGTAAATAAAATTTCAACATCAAATTCATAGTTACCCAGAGAGAGTTGGAAAAGTCAGAAATTAGAAGTATCATGTCAGATGATGTAATTAAGTTTAGTGAGTTTCAAAACTCTTTCTGCTTCTAAATTCCAAACATCATCAGAGTGAATGACTGAATCTCATATTAATTTATAATTTACATCAGAAAGTTACCAAGAGCTGTAGCAATTTTCTGATACCTGTATGAAGTGAAATATTTGACAGATATATGACAGAATCTGGCAATTCATTTTCAAAATTAAATATGCCACCTGAACTACTCTAAAAGTCACATAACATGACACTTAACATGAACTGGAAACAAGATACACAAGAATACTCAAAGTTAATAAGTGCTGGTTTAAAATTGAACCAATGTCTTTAACTGTAAAGGTTTGTATGTGCAGATGGTTACAGGCTAGGTAATAAGTAATGTCAAACAAGAAAGAAATCATGAACACAATCAGAAAGGCGGCTGGTGATTTTGCGATGGTGGTCGTATGTACCTAAAACCCAGAGGACTAGACCGGCTGGCTCCGAGTGATGCTGCAGATGCATGCATTGGCTTCACTTCTTCTTCAGCACCAACCGCCTTCCTATTTGTGTTAGACTATAATGTTATCATAGCTGCAAATTATAAACAAAGAAACTGGGTCATTAAAACTAAATTTTAAAGTTTTGTTCGTTCTGGTAAGAAAAACTCTGTAGGCTATTCTTGTGTTTCCCGATATCATCACTTAGTCTACCTCATATCCAATTCAACTGTGAGATGGTAGTATGAAAAGCTTGGCACATACTTTAGAAGGCGAAGTATCTTTCACGGTGTCACCTGTAGTACTCAAAGTAGTTGTTGCACCCGACTTCTTTTTGGACGGATTGTCATGAAGCGTTTCCTCTACCTCTGACAATGCGTTGATATAAGAGAACCATTAGATAATAAACTTATGCATTATTGAGAGACAATTCTAAACCTTTGATGAGCTGAAAGTGTTGATATGATCTTCAAATTCTGTCAATCAACACTGTCAGATGCTGTAAAACAAATACTAGTTTCAGAGACCAGAAAAATCCGAGTAATATATTGTCAAGTAATGACATTTTTATTAACATAGTCAAACCATTAAAAATTATATCTTCATACACTTTTTTCCATATTTGCAGGGACAAGTACAAAGTACCGGTATGGCTAGTATATTCACTTGACAGTCACTCCACATAAACAATCAATTACTCAACAAGCAGATGACTAAAATACAAAAATCACAGATCATTCTGACTCTACATTTTGAGCATTTACCTTCTAAACACCAAAATGGTACAGCTACTATAGTGAAACCCTCAAAATGAAAAGAACTCAAAAAAGAACTACCCAGGTAAAACACAGCCACAGAAGTTTTAGTGGAATTAAATTCAAATATTGCTTTTCTTATCTATCAGCAGGATTTGTACTGCTTTAAGCATACTTAAACATTGCATGGGAATCCGAAAAAATGTATTTATCTTCGTGAATAAAAAATAGCTGAGCATTAAGTAAAACCACTTTAGAAAGACAATGGCCATTTTGAACATCTTTTCATCACAATACCATCTAAAGAGACGCAATTAAAATTAACTGTAGGATCTTGGAACATGCTCAGTCACAAAATTCAAGATATTAACAATGCCACCAAACACACTGACCTTAAGAGTAGATACAAAACCCACCAATACAGAATCAATCACGAGGAAAAAAGAGTGATTGCAATAAAATCACAGCAAAGAAAAGCAATAGTATTAACACATTGAGTGCAACAGGTATAGACAAATCCAGCCAAAGGTGTGCCACAGTGTGCATCTTGTTGCGCTCAAAGTGTTAACAGAAAATTACAGGAAATCAAACTGCTGTACTTTAATTCAAAATTAAATGTATCACATCAATCATATAAATCTAATACAAACAAGGATTCTACTGTGTGTTAGGGCTATGACACAACAGTGTTGCGGGTTTGCATACCAAAGGGGCCAAGGTGTCTTACAGGTAGAGCGAGTAGGCAACCCAGCAATCCCAGCATACGTTTGTGTCATGGCTCTGACACACAGTACAAAGGAGTACAACCCCTGCAAAGGTTTTAACAAGTGTACTTTTCATCTGATACATGTTAATGTATGTATAACATGTTCTCTACAAGCTGACAAAACATTCAATTCATGACAGTCAACACCCAGGTGGATGTGAGAATGTGAGGCAGTGAAGATGTTAATAGTCTTTAACTAATATTTTCTTGAGGACTTTAACTCTAACTTTGATCACAGTTAAAAAATCACAAAACAAATCACTTTCTTTGTAGAAATACAATGATAAACATGACTGACAACAAAACTCACGGATTTAACACAAGCATAAAAATAGAGTGCACTTCTACACTAGAAACAGTTCTGCAGTAAAATCACAAAAACAAACAATATGGTGTGTGAGCTGAATGATCATTGGATGATAGCAATTCCCAAACAATTTTAAACCCTTCTGTTGCAATCCCAATAATGAATAATTTTAAAGAATAACAGTGTATTGATATTTACAACTTTATTATCATGCAGTTATTCAGCGAGGCATGCACTGTGATCTTTACTGAGAATTTCTCTTCAAAAGAACAACTGTGGAATAGCTGCCTTAGGGAAGACGAAATCCTTGCATGGGTCAACTAAATTGCTTGTTGAAAATTTCTATGATTAAAAAGAGATTTCAGTAACAAAACTTTGAGCTATAAATTTTTTATATTCTTCTATGCTAATGAAAGAGATGTAATTCCTTAGGAAAACAACTGAATAATCAATCACATGATAAGTTCACCTCCAAATTCTTAAATTTTTTAGCCAACCGGCTACAAAATAAATCACATTTACAGATGCTGTTGTATCTTTGAGCTTAAGGATCAGATTAAAAATATCACAGACAAATATGTACATCAAGTTACTGTATTTTCAATACACTTGGGAAAGTTGTATCAAAAATATTATTTCTAACATAGACGGCAGGAGATCAATCACAACAAAATGGTTTTCATCCAACCACAACACAACACTACCTCCTACAATTTTTTTATGCACAGGCTTTAACACGTTGAGCCCCAGGGGAGGAGGCACACACGTGCATTTTAGTATTAATGACCATCAGTATGGTCATGTGGTACGTACTTAATATGAACACAAAACATGGTCCTTGTATCATGGTAGTCATTTAAGAAGTTTGACAATTTTTTAGTAGGAAGAACGTGAACAACATTCATGTTTGTTAAACAAAATTCTCAAGACAAACTACTTGAGAAACAAAAAACAAACAAACAAAACTCCTTCCAACTCCAAGTTTAATGCTTAAAACTTCCAGCATGATAGAAAAAAAAAGTGGGCACAAATAAGCTACACTTGCAAATGTATGTATGAGCAAGGCGTCCAGCAATTATGAAGTTCCTTATAATTATAGTCACAACACCATTTTGAAATGATTTTATCATATGGACTTACATCTATACCCACACATCACACATGTAAGGCAGTCTATCAAAACAAAGTGGACTCTCAAAAGTAGACTGAAAGTTCCATAGCCTACCCCTTGCAAATGATAACTAGTGTTTTCCTTGGGTTTGTTATCCTGCTGAAAATCAACTTGTTCAAAAACAATGATTGATTATCATAAGAAAAGTCATTGTAGACTTTGACAACACATCAATCAACACATCTGATTAGGTTCTTTTCACACCTACAATAAAACACAATACGTGGAGGGCTACCATAATGTAGCTGAACTTTTCCCAGAAAGTAAATAGAATGTTTAAAAACATTTAACCCATAAATAAATCTATTTTTATTTTTATCTTTTTCATGTGCCTTTTTAATTTGATAATATTTCAGCAGGTTGGTTTTAATATGATTGTCATTCAGTTTCTAGAACTGAGTCCTCTAGAACTCTTTATAGACTAGCCTGCTTTACAGCAAGAAAACTATTTTGGACCAAATCACGCACAAAAATCTCTGATCTGAATATGTCAAAAATTTTGTGCTGAACTTGTGATGTATGAAAAACAATATGGTAAAATCAGTCTGGAGCAATATTGTGGAGAAACATGCAAATTTGTAACCCTCTGGATTGTAGTATCGTTTTTATTTTGTTTTTACTGCCCACCCAATCTGACAGGAAAGTTCTCAGTTTGTTATGTAATCTATTCAGAAAGTTAAAACCCACACACATAACTCTACTAATAGAAAATGCACACCCAAGACGACAATACCCTTGCACCAGGGCAAGGCAAGGATGTACAATAAGATACCTGGTGTGCTGAGGAGGGTGGCTGTAAGGCCCTTCTGGTGGATAACGATAGCTGTCTCGAGGTGCCACATCATAGTCTTTCCGGTAGCTAGGTGGGATCATGCCTCCTTGACTGCCAGGACCAGCAGATCTCCCTCTGCCACCTCTTCCTCTGCCACGACCACGTCCGTAACCAGAGTCTGCGTCGTAGTAGGGAGCAGCATCACGTGGATATCTTTGAGGATACCTTTAAATAAATTTAAAAAAACAAAACATTCTATTAAGGATTTGCTAACACTTTGTCACAATTAAAATTAAATAAAAAGAGTAGAGAACTGATAAAAAAAATCGATTGATCCTTACCTCGGTGGAGGACTTCTAGTTCTAGATCTATAAAGCCTTGGGCCATCTCTGTCAAGCGGGTCCCTTCTGGGTCGCGGAGAGAGAGGGCGTCTCTCACGAGGTGACAATGATCGAGAACGAGACCTGAAAAAAATGATATACAACTAATGTAGACCCCTGCTGTTTTGAGTATGGGATTAAGAATTTTTGTAGTAGTATGTATTGAACACCACCGGAGCATGTTAAGCAAAAGCAAGAATGGCCTCAAAGCCACCAAAAGAAGAGAGCAGAACACAAAACATTCAAATGAAAGCATGTGAAGCACTCAAAACTTTCATACTGACTTAAGATTTTGCCAAGTTATTAGGGGGGAAAAATCAACCCATAAAAATTTAATTAACTGGTCCACGGTTTTAAACTAAGATTGCTCCTGCTTCTTTGATGAAATTGTCCGTTTTTTCTTCCATATGTACTTTGAGGGATTGAACTTACCTACTGAGGCTGAAGGAGGGAGATCGACTTCTTGAACGGGACCTGCTACGCGAGCGAGTTCTTGTGCGAGACCGCTTTCTTGGCGGGGGAGTTCGTGAGCGACGAGGAGTAAGTGTTCGCCTGGTTCGGGAGATGGACCGACTCCAAGATCTCCTAAACAATCCATTTCAAAAATCAGACTCAGCTAATTTTTCATTTGATCCCAGTTCCAATACTAGGGACACTGGTAAAGCTAACACTAACGCTGTCCCAGGTTATCTTACCTGGGAGTTCTGGAGCGTGATCTTGTGAACTTTCTACTTTTCAGAGGAGAACGGCTGAGTGAGCGCCGTGGTGTTCGGCTGCGGCTTCGGGGACTGCGGGTGCGGCTGCGCGTCCGCGAGAGAGGAGTGCGCGAACGTGGAGAGCGGGACCGGGAGCGGGAACGTGACCGGGAATATGACCGGGACCGTGGACTCCTTTGACGCAATTTTTCCCTCCTTTTTTCATTTTCTTCTTTCATCCTCAATCTACGCTCAAACTCTTCTAATGGGTCCAAATTGTGCCTGGTGAACAACAAACACACACAAATTCACAGATAACACAACGTGCCCAGTGATCAAACACACAGACAAGTCCAAGAACTAAAAGTCGAGATAATTGGAAAGAAAGAAGACGATAGGTCAGAATTAGACCTTTAAAAGGATTCATTGATTGACTTACAAAAACCACCCGCAGTTTTAAGCTTAGTTAGAACTAAGACAAACAGAAGGAAAGAGTAGGTGGATAGATAGATAGAAAACCTCCACAGCCCACATATTATAAAAACAATCCATCAATCATCACCGCTTTTCACCCTCTTCTTCAAATTAAAAGCAACCCAGTACCAATAACTGCGGTTCAAGACTTACCCTGCCTGACTTCCATTTTGAGTGGGATAGCGCGGAGGGCCACGATCAAAATTGTCTCTGCCATATCCTGTAGGAGATAAGCAGATAAAGTTATGAAATTGTGGATTAAAAATGGGTAGGGAAAAAGGAAAAAGATGCTCACCATATTTTGGATCTTGAGGTGCCACAGAATAGCTCATGGTTCGTTCATCATAGTAACCCCTGTAAAAATTACAAAAGAATAGATCAGATTATTTTCAAAATAATAAAAAGTGAATCTTTGCTGGTCAGGTAAGATCTAACATCTTAAAAAAGAATAAGACAACAAGGAAAAGTAAAATAACCAGAAGTCCCAGCTACAAAGCAAATTGCTAGAAAAAGATTTGTGATAAGATCAAACATCTACCAATTGCATTGAAAAATATACACATCAAGACACACCAGTAAATAAATTGAGACACTCAGCCAAGACTGTAAAGTCTTAGAAAGTTAAATGTTTCAAGAAAAGGAAATTGTGATAAAATTTGCAAATAAGTAGAACAAGAAAACAAGAAGAACTAAAAAGAAAGTATTACAATTGTGTATTCGCAATTACTGAAACAAGCCGGGGAAGACAAATAACCCAGTTTCTTGGGCAGAGGAGCAAAAGTGGGGCTGGGGGGAGGGGGCGAAGACTACAAACTGTAACACAACCACAAGGCCTAAGTATATAGATGTAAGAAGACTAGCACACCAAATTGGACAAATCAACATGCATAATGGACGAGGTCGGATCAAGCCGACTTACCCTACAGGTACCGGCTGCTGGGCGGGTCCCAGAGCAGAAGGAGTAATGTACATATGTTGAGCAGGAACCGACACCGGCTGGCTGTATCCTGAACCATCTTCCAGCCCTCTGAACCAGCGACAAACCCGAAGACACCACACACGTTAAATAATGATGAGAATTAATTGGTTGATGTTCTCAAAATGCTTGAAATCCCCAGTGTATGGACAAAATGAAATGATCGGCCAAGCAATTAAATCTTGTGAAAATCCATACCCAATCACAATCTTCTCTATGGTGGACTAGCACAAGGTAACTTTACACAGTAGTGGTACTGAGTTCTGGTTGTTGAGTCAAATTACGAAATTTCTATGATGGTACTATTATCATAATGCTAGGTTGAGAGAATTCTACGAAGGAACAGCCCGGTGGGATCCTAGCATCACCTAACCAGATATGACGACCAAACCACAACAGCCCTAACTCCAGTAAAGCACCAAGCACTCCATGAAAAAAGATGTATTTTCTCACAACATATTGCACACAACATTACAAAGAGTTGTAAAAGCTTGAAAGCACATGACACATGGATGAACAGCATATGAATGAATAGCAAATTAAAAAATCATGTGAAACTTTAAAGTTACAAATTTTGTATTAAAGGGTATTTTCCCTGATCCCAAGTAGCCTTGAGCCGAGCGAAATGTTAAGTTGAGCAAATGTTTTAGATAAATATTGTAATTTTGACTCACCTTTGATGGCCATATGCAGGAGCACCAGGAGCCCGATCTGAAATTTAAAAATATAAATGAGAGATAGAAAACAAAACAAGAAAACAACAACCACTTTCTTACAAAAGCCACAGAAAGGAAAAATAACAGTGCTACATCATTTATCCTTCACTTATTTTTTCAAAACTTGGAATATCTTGGAGGGTACATACAAACCAAAGCTACATTCATTACAAAGCATAATAAACATGCATCTTGTTGAAACCCGAATCAATTCCAACCCGTGTAGGTAAAGAAGTAAAATTAGAAATGGAAAGAATAACAAACCAAAACAGGACAAAAAATAAACATGCAAATAAAAATACAGATTGATGTACGAAAAAGAATAATAAAGAATGCACACAAACAACAGATAAAGTGAGTTCAGTCAGTGAATTGTGATGTTAAAACCATTGTAGTCATTTTTTCCCTGCATATAATTATGATGCTCAACATAAATGTTCACAAAGAAACAACAAATTAAGTTAAAAGGAGAAGGCACTGATGCATAATTCTTAGTGTATTGATGCACGCAGAAAAGGGTAAAATGTTTTGTATGGAATATGTGAGGTTGCAAGAAACACACTTGGGCCTTGCAGGGTTATAACAGAATAATAAAACTAGACAGTAGCAAGCTTTTCTTTCTTCCCATTTTTTTTTAGGGGGTATGCACCAACACACAATGCAAAAGTGCATTAAAAAGTAATTCGTGGTGTAAAACGTTCCACGCAGTTTGGGTTTTCATATCGGTCACCCCTGTTACCTGGACAATAGTAGCGCCCCCACCCGAAGCGTCTTGTGCGTCTGTCTCGCTCTCGCCCCTCCCTTGCATCCCGCCTCCCTCCAACCTCGCCACGTCGCCGGTAGTCTGGTACTCTCCTTCCACTTACTGAATAATATGCTAAATGTTTGGTGAATGGTCAATGTGTAAACAAGACAATGGTAGTTAGCATTGGTTAAAAGTGTCAGGGAATTAAAAGAATTTAACACCAGTTATATGCTAAAAATAATTGCAACAGCAAATAAGTTACTAAACAACTGGTATGGTACGTATATTCTAGGGGTGTACATCAGATACATACTCGTATTAATACTTTGAAAAGGATTCCATTCAACAAAATCGTTTTCATGAAGTCTACCAAGTTCCTAAGGAGAGTTGTAAGCTAAAGAAAATTGACAGTAACATCACACATGCAAGTTTTGTCTTTTATATTAGTGCATGCACTAAGGGCCTTAGTCTAGGATGCAAGCTATGGACTGGTTTACACCTCCTTAAAACAAGGCCACTACCTAGAAGAAAATTTAAACAGCACAGAAAACAAGTATTCAGATATATCCAAGAGAAAGCAAAGGGAAACAGATATACACATTTACTGGTATAAAGTACAACACCAAAAACAAGTATGCTTAGAACCAGAAAGTGGCTTGTGTCATGATCCACAATCATGAAACATAAACTGACAATACAGGCAACATTTTAAGGAAGCACCATGTTCCACTCCAATCCCACTAGTACTATAGCTTGCCCATTGGCATAAAATACTACCTAAAGCGTCTGACTGAAAATATCAGACATGCATTTACTTCTTTAAAAGACCATATCAGATCTTTGACAGAAGGAAGTAGTAGTCTATGACCAGAACCAGTTAAAACACATATGGAGGATAATTTTTGTAGCAAAGTACCCCAAATAATTTTCTGAGAAGTACCAAAGAGCAGTATTTATTCAATTTGAAGCCAAAATGGGTAGTCGATTGGAAGCCAAAATCCACATCAGTAAGTTTCAAAACCGGAAAAACGGGCGCCGCTTAGAATCAAATAAATACAGTGATCAGTAAATGGTAAATCAAATGGCACCAGTTTACAAAGTAAAGTCATCCAAATTCTAATTCCGGTAACTGTTGTAAATTGTAACTACTTTCTTGTAACAAAGAGTTGATGTGGTCTATTCATTGAGATAGACAAGGAAACAAGACTTGGGAGAAATTAACTTACCATAGGGAGGATGTGGGTATGGTTGAGGAACAACCGGAGGTGGTACAGACATGTCTGCATAGTGCAGAGGAGGAGGAGGATGATGAGATGCTTGACCATGGTGCATGCTTGCAGCAGCATCTAAGTTGCGCTCATCAACTGTGGGAGTACCAGCTCTGTCTTCATGTCTGAAACAAATTGATAAAAATAGAATAAGTTTTATTTAATTTCACGATGACCATTTAAAAAAAAAAAATTGAGCATGAGAATTTTATAGATGCTTACAAGTGATATCCCACACGTTGTAATTCACGAGGAGCGCCATCACCTGGAGCACCTGTGGGATGTGAGGAAGGTTGATTATGGTGTGGAGAAGGGTGTGACCGTGGAGGGTGCCTTTCTCTTTCCTTTGTTTCCTCAATGTTTCTCTCCCTATATCTTTTCCTATCGTATGTCCTATCTCTGTTGTGTCTATCTTGCTTAGAGTGCTTAAAGTCCTCATTAGATTCCAAGTTTTGTTCTGTCTTTGTTTCCTTCCTCACTGAGGGTGCCTTGTCAACAGTGCGTTTTGAAGAAATATCTGAGTGATGAGATGTGGTTTTAATGGGTGCTCCTAGAACAGGGATGCCTGATCCAGTACTTATGGGTGGTTGAATGAATGGTGATGGTGGAGGAGATGGACGTTGCTCAGGTGTTTCACCTAGAAAGAAGAATTGAGATATATAAGGACTGGTTTAGACAAGCATATAAATTAGATTATTTTGCACAGTGAAAACTGACCTTCAGTTTGAGACGAAGTGGCTGCAGAGGACGAATCAGGAACTGGATCTGAAGGAGGCTGATGTTCTGGTTGAGGTGGTGCTGGTTCTGGAGGTATTAACTTGGGAGGAGGTTGGGATTTGTGTGGCTTACGGTAGCCAGTCTGATCTCCAAAATCAGCAACCCGCTTCCGCAGAAACCTATTAGGAATTAGCATTTCTGGTGTCTTTTCTTTTTCAAGACACTGAGGGCACTCTTGATCATCAGATTCCAAAAGAAAAGTGCGAATACCTAAAACAGATAATAAAAGACTTTTTCTGAAAAAATTGTAACTTTTTCAATTTACAAAATAAGGGAAATGTGCTAAACTTACAGTCATCACAAAAAGAATTTCCACAACATGGCATCATAACTGCATCTGTAAGTAGGTCTTTGCACAAAGAGCACAAGAGGTCCTCAGGAATTTCTGGTTTTTCTGGTTCTGGTATGGGTTCAGACGAAAAAGGAGGGCGCTCTTTTTTACCCTCCTTATAGGCTTGGCTGTGGCAGAAAGCAAAGAATAATTAACTAAAAATCTATTGGGGGAAATTATGAGTAAACCTTTACAATGATACGGGGTTACTCACTGGTCTATGGCGGGGACAGCAAAGTGGCCCATGGGAGTCATCATGGCACCAGGAACTAAAGGACCTTCTACAGGTACCATAAAACTGCGGGGGATTCCAGTGCTCTTCTTAATATCCACAGATTCCTGTTAAAAGAGGATTATGTACATAATCATTACATGTAATAAATATCAGGTTAAATGTGTGTGAGTAAGTGGAAAAAATCTCCTTAAAACACACCTGCATATCTCTCAACGGGCAATCCTTGGTCCAGTGAAGGCCTATTCCATGACACTTGAAACAACGGTAGTGTTGAGGAAGTGGTCCAGTTTGGTTATTACGTACACGTTGGTAGCTACGAAAAATATGCAAAGTAAACGAAATTTGATGACCTGAACGAGAAGACTGAGCTGGAACATATCTTAGGCAATAACACAAGCTTACTTGGCAGGGTCGTAGTCCTGAGTTGATTGTGACATCATTGCTGAAATCTTATCATCTTCACTTCCTTCCATTCTAGCCAAATCCACTTGCTGCAAATTTGACATAAAAAGAAATGGTTATGATAAGAAAAAAAAGTTAGTAAAACCCAGAACAAAGAATAATTTTCAACTCACACTGGAATGAATGAATCCCCCGGATTCTCCATCTTGAAATATTTGATCCTGAGGGTCAAGAACTTTAATTAAACTTTGAAAAATAAAAGAAAAGAAGATGTTTGAACGGAGAACCAGTGTCAAGAACAAAAGCTAGGTACTGTTAATTAATTTCATTACTACACGCACCTTCGTTGCAGGCAGAAGATGAGGATTAAGCCCTTGCCTGGTACTACATTACATAAAAGAAAAACAATACATAAGAACACTGTAAGAATAAGTGAAGCAAGTAAGAAAGGAACAATGAGCAGATTACTAACTTGGCACGTTTAGCTTGGACAGAAAGGGGTACACGATGAACTATCAATGACGTGTTTTTAGGAATCAAGGTGGCCTCATCAGTATATACTAGAGAGAAACAAAATATCATAGAATGACACACAATTCCATAGCGACATATTTAGATTGGTTATGAGCAAAATGCTTACCTTCGTCCGTTTGAGCATTTTTAACAAGAAGATCAAAATCTGTGTTTTTCCCCAAATTTTTCTGTTGGAATATCGACTTTTTCAAATCTTTTAATGAAATGTGTAGGCCATCAAATGTGAGAGTATCATAGTCTTTTGTTGATTTGAATTTGTAGTGTACCGACATTGTCGGTTTTATAACTCTTCATGAGTCTAGTTATTAATTCTGAAAGAGATAGGGAATGTACTTAAAATTAGTAAAAGATAAAAAATTTGTTCATACATAGGAAACGTATCAACTTTGCATGATCTATGAGAGAATAAAGTGGGCCTTGAATTAACAGGATACAAAGTTAATGAAAATTT